AGCGGCTCTGACTCTGCTTCGTGGCTCCTCTGACTCGGAGCCCAGACAGCCCACGAGGAGGAACCTGGGACTTTGACCAGAGTTTTCTTCAGGCCAAAGTTTTCTTGACGCTCAATCCGTCTCTTCCTCCTCCCCACTGTCCTGATTTAAGAAGATCAGAACCTAGATTTCTGAGCCAACCCCTGGCCCTGTGGGGCCTTGTGCTCACCAGGAATACTCGCACGCGTGCGCACACACACATACATGCATGCACACTCAAGGAAGAAGGGGGTCCCCAGATGGCAGTGGCTTTGAGTGCCCAGTGGACAGTGCCCAGCAGATGGCCTGAGGACGGCCAGAGTCCTGGGAATGCTCAGCTGGGACTGATCCTCAAATGGGTGGGGAGGGCTTCATGGCAAAGGACCTAGAAACCAAAGGACCTAGAAACCAAGCGTAGCTCTGCCCCAATCTCACAGGCCCCTTGCCTTGGTTTTTACTCTTTGAAGGCGCGACTGTCTCTCCGCTTGTGATGGAGGCTGAGTGCTCCCACGTGGGGTCCTCCCTGCACCTCCCCCGACCGCTCCGGTCCCTGGGAGCCTCTGGGCCTCGAACGGGGTCAGGGGCACTTACTGCCCAGCAGAGCTCTCCAAGTCCAGTCCTGGGACCCAGAGGGCTGGGTCACCTGAGCTCAGCCCTGCTGGTCAGCCTCGGGGACCCTGGCAATCTGCACCCCCAGGTGGTGCCAAAGCTCAGACCCCAGAGCTCCAGTCCTGGGCTCAAAGACTGAGAGGCCGATTTATTTTATTTCCCTGGGCTTTTGCTTCTGAGTCTGCGAATAAAATTAGACCAGCATTTTAAGTTATTTCACTGGAGACTTATCAACGTGTGTTGTAGTTCCATCCACACGGGACTGGTCTCGCACTAACTTCTTACTGCCCTGGGTGTACTAGCTGTAACTTTGGCAGTAGCTGTGCCCCAGGGCTCCCCCAGGGCTGGGTGGCTTCATAAAGGGGGCTACCATTGGATCTGGAAAGCTTAGTGGCAGAAGTAGCAGGAAATGGTTAGCAGTGAGTGAGTACTTGCTGCCAGTGTGTGCGTGAACACAGCCAGTCCTTGTAGTGGCAGAGCTGCGGGAAGGAGTATATATGTACGTGTATATATGTATGTATTTACATTTTGCTATAGGGCCCTTGAGCTCACCAGAGGGAGAGAGGGAGAGAGATCACCCTCCAGGGAGATGGCCATGCAATCCCTTCTCCAGTCTCCTCTCAGGATTTGGGGCACACAGGCATGTACCAAGCATGATTCTCGGCCACCAGGTCTAGGACTTGAACTGTGCAGCCAGCCATGTGGGATTCAATGCCTTAACCCTTCACACCACCCCCATTTCACAACGAGAAAAAGAGGCACAGAGAGCTTAAGTAATTTATCTAGGGTCTCTCTTTTTGCAAGTGGCCTAGCAGGCTTGGAACCCAGCCCTCGACCCATGTGACCAGCACACTAGGCTTCTGGGCCCTGGGAGCTGCCCTGACCTCCAGCCCGGGAGGCTGCCCAGTGCAAGTCTGTGTCCTGGGCCTTGACCGTGGGCCAACAGGGAAGCCCAGGCTCTGGTTGCTGGGAAGGCGGTCCCCTCCTGGTCCTCTGCTCTCTGCTGAGCAGGAGCACAGAGTAGGGGAGAGGGGATGTCTCAAGTGCCCGCTGGAACCAGAAGCAGAGGTGCTATCAGGCAGCGTGGGCACAGGCCCCATACGGCCCAGGGACTGCAGGAGTGGCTCGAGGCGCGCGCACTGCGATCCAGGCTGCTCTTCAGAAGGTAGCCACACTCGATTCCGCCACGCTGAGCGCCTGAGTACCACCACTGGTAGCGGCGTGGCAGAAGGGCTCCTGCCCAGACAGTCAGCAGAGCCCGGGTGCCGTCCAGCCCTGCAGACGAGTGAGCTGGGTGTGCGAACCACAGCGTCCGGCCCACGGGGCTGTGGCTTTGTGGGGTGAGTGGATGGGTGTGTGTGAGCCACTTTGGAAAGCCAGCCACAGGGCAAGTGCCATGAGGTGTCGACTGGGCCTGTTTAGTGCAGGCTCCCTGGGCTGCGTGTCCCTGACCTCCCTGGACCCCTCCCCCAGCCCCGCCGCCCCCCCCAGCTGCTCTGCATGAGCATTGTTCCTTATCTCCGGAGGCCTTGGGGTCTGAGACCAGTCTGGCCTGGTTCTGGGAGCTCGAGAATTCCAGAGAGCACAGGCCTTCTGAGGTTAGATGGGCAGCCGTCGGGGTGCTCCCCTAATGACCCCAGCTGGGCAGGGGCTGCAGCGACACAGCCCCTTGGAGGTGACCCCGTGGGCTAGGAGCCTGGAAGCTCAGGTGCTGGGAGCCTCCACACGCTCAGGGCTCTAGACCCTGTCAGCACCTGTGCAGATTTCACGTGGCCTCCTAGGGCAGCTGTGGGGATTTCCCCTGGCTCTCCTGCACGCTGCCACGGCATAGAGAAGCCAGTGTCCCCCACCAGCGTACTGAGCGCTGTCACGGTGACGCTCATGCGTTTCTTGAGCTCTGTTCCTGAGGCCCAGGAAGGATAGGTCTCTCCCACATTCCCTGGAGTCTTAGCCCTGCAGTTCATGATCTGGGCTCCTGAGAAGAGGGAAACCTTCATGAGTGTCCTCCTCGAATCATGGGAAATGAGCGTACCCCAGCCCCCGGGAGCTCTGAAAGCTGGGTGCCCTGGCGGCATGGCTGCCAGAGCTGGATACAAGACTTACTGGCAGGGGCTTGCTGTCAGCCTTCTAGGGCCACAGGTGGGAAGGAAGGGCCGACAGGAACATGGGGCCGAGGAAGGGCAGGCTCAGTTTTGCAAATGGTGTCTGTAGAACCAGAGGGAAAACGAACATGAAATTTAAGGAAGGAATTCTAGAATAGCAGGCAAAGATTTTGCTACCAAAAAAAATACCTCGAGTGTGGTGGTCAAGGCGGCTGGACCTCACATGGCCAGCCATGCAGTTTGCGTCCCAGACCCGATGGCTTGACAAACGTGCTGAGCATGTGCGGGTGTGTGCTCAGAATCCCAGAAGGGGTAAAGAGAAAGGGTGTGGCGTGACTGTCCCCCATAGCAGGCGTTCTCAATCTCTCTCCCCTAGCAAATGCTTATACCCTCTAGAAAAAGATGAAAAGACTGCCTAGATTCGTCTGGGTAGAGGGAGAGATAGGTGGCCAGCTTTCATGAAAGAGAACAATGCAGGGATGAGCCGGGCGCACTGAGGCCTAGCGCCCGTTGTCTGGTGATATCGTGATGGCGTCACTGCCTAAAGGGGGTTAGGGATGTCTTATTCCTTTAGTAAGAATGTTTGTCTTTGATTAGAGGATTTTTGAGAAAGCTTCGAAACTGGCCCTTTGGTTTTTATCTGCTGGTGTTTGACTGTGTTATCCTCTGCAGAAGTGGGGGGTTGAGTTGGG